AAAAAAAGCTGAGACAAATGAGGTACAACAATAAACACAGATAACAATTACAAAGGCAAACAGTGGCTTTTGGGAACAAGTAGCTGCAGAACCTGGTCTACATAAACAAAGTAGGCAAATGTTTGCAAGATAAACTCCTTCCTAAATCGAGTGTGACGGGAAGGAGAGAAGAGAGGAGGAGAGATAAGGTTGGAGGGGGGAATGAACGAGTATAATCTAATAGAAGGCGTCTTAAAAAACAAACTTAAGACAAGGATGCGGGGAGAGAGGTTCAATTATTCAGTGGGAAGTGAAATAATATAAGGGAGATGTTTGTGATCCAGGGTTTTGTGCGTCCCCTCCCCTTCTTTTTGGCGCTGGGTGGGGGAGAAGAATGGATTGAATTGTAGGAAAAGGGCAAAGAAAAAGGGGAATGCGGGTACGGGGAAGAGAGGGGGGGGTCGGCTCAGCAGGAAGGGGAAGGAAATACAAGGCAGCCATAATAATCTCTAATTTGAAGGTGAATGGTAGATTACGTGATAGGCTGGGAGGGATAGGAAGCGGCTATGGGGGGAGATGGATGCCGTGATAGAGGAGGGCAGGAAGGAAGCTGGAAGGTATATATTTCTAATCCCGGGCTTTCGGTGGTAATTGGGGAAGGAGGGATGGAGCGGGGAGGCTGCAGGGCAGATGTGCCATCCAGGTGTGCTTCCCCCCCCCAAAAAAAAGACGCTCCCGAAGCCCGAATAATTTTCAGAAGGAGTTGAAGGCGGTGTTGGGGTTTATTCTCTGTTTTCCATCCGGATCCCGGCAAATGAGAATTGTATATAAGAGGGGAGAGACGTGTCTGCAGTGTGGTTAAAGGAATTAGATATTTACCAGTTTGAAATAAGCCTGGTTATAAAAAAAAAAGGAAAAAAAAAAAAAAAAAGGGAGAGAGACACTGAAAAGATGAGACGGGAGAACACTTCAAACGAATTCATCATCTGGAGTGGTGAAGGGGAGATTTAGAGACAGTATTGGGAAGTTATTTAGATATTAATAACATATTTTCCTGAGGCGTCAGGAGTGCCTCCATACGCACTTTTTTCTCGCAGCTATTTGGCTGGGTGAAATATGGGAGACCCAAATGTTGGGGAGAGATAACACAATCAGCCTAGCCCTGGTCCTGTGACTGCATCATAGCATTAAACCCGGATTAACCTCCCCTTTCTCCCCCTCCTCCATTCCAGCCCCCCTCCCCAACACCCCCACTCGTACCCCCCCGAGAAGCTTTCCAAATTTTTCAGGGGAATTTACATGGCAGGATTTTAAAGCACATATAACACTAGCCTTAAAGCTGTAAGGTACTTACTCGAGCATTAGGGTAAGGCGGGGGGGGGAAGCATCTTTCTGAAAATTACGTTTCCTACAAAAGAAAGAAGCAAATAAGGGACCCTCTTAAGACCTGGGCTTTGGAGATATTATATATTTATAGAGACTATTCTTAAAAAAAAAAAAAAAAAAAAAAAAAAAGCAGCCCATTTCTATCAGCTGCCACACAACTCTTCTCTCCACCAATGGCCTGAAAATTTTTTTTTTTTTTCCTTTTTTTCCCCCTTCTTCTTTTATTTAAGCTGAACTTCAGCCCGGTTTGGGCGCTTTCATTTTTCTTTCTTTTTATTATTCTTATTTTTTCTTTTTCCTTTTTTTTTCTTTTTGTTTTGGAGGAATGTGGGTGAGAAGATGCTGGGAGCTGCAGGGAACGGGGACAGCGATGGGGACGCGGCTCCGAGCTGCCGGCCGGGCCTTGGTGGCACCGATCCCCTTCCAATGTGTGCTCAGAGGGGGGGTCCTTTAAGAGGAGGGGGGCTACCTCTCATCCCATCCATCCCAAACAGGTCCAGAATAAGAATTAAAGCACCACCGAAGCGCAGGTGCGGTTGAGCAGCTCGGTTGGGGACGGGAATGCGGTGGAGTCAGGAGGGAGATCTGCTCTGAATCCCCCCAACCCCCAAAAATCCATCCTCATCTTCATCCCCATCCTCATCCTCGGTTCATCCCGCCCCGGGGCCGGCGTTGAGCTGACCACAAAAGAAACGAGATGTCAGTGAATGCTTGGTTATAAAGACGTTTGTCACCGGTTTGTTGGGGGAAAAACGGGGAAGGGACGGGGTTGGATTTGGGGCTTTTTCAGGCAGAACGGGGCTCACGGAGAAGAGCCGGGGCTGCGCAGAGGGAGGGGAGAAGAGAAAAAGTAGGTGAGGAAAAGTAGAGGCAGCTTGAGGAAATTGAGAAGCTTATAGTCTTTGATCCTTGGATGCTTTTCCTTATCAGAAACATTTGTGGTGACACCGGTACAAAGGAAGTTCATCATATTACAGACTGTTCGGGCTGCTCGCAGGAATCACTGTCTATTAATTAGCAGGCGCTCTGTCTTGTGGGACATAGGAGATCTGAGGCTGCACATTACTTGCTTGGATGGCTCTGGGTCCTGTGATGAATTGTCGCAAAGGCTCTGTAGGGTCTGCGGAGGGAGGGAGGGGGGACCCTGGGCTCGTTTCTGAGCTGTACGGCTGTGCTACAGGGGAAGGGTCCCCAGCTCCGTGCTGCTCATAGGACAGCTGAGCTCATCCCTTCTGCGCGGCTGTGCCCGAGGTTTGGGGTTTGGGGTGAGGAAGAGGAGCAAAGCGCTTGTTTGTGGTTTTTTCTTTTCTCTTTTTCTTTTTTTTTTTTTTTTTTTTTAATTTAATCGTTATATATTAATGCTGATAAGAACTAATTTTCACCTGTCGAGTCTTCCTGGAGATGGAAATAGAGGGTTTCCCTTCATACAACAGCAGGACTCAAGGGATGCTCCTGGCTCACCTCCACCTGCCCGAGAAACGCAGTCAAGGGCTTTAAAAAAATAATTAAAAATAAAAAGGCTTATATATTTATATATATATATTTTCTTTTGAGGAGGAGGGGGGGGGGGAAATAATTGGCATTCAAAGAGAGGGTCGCGTTTCCTAGAGAGGGAGGAATGGAAAACCCTCAGGGCGGCTTTGGGGTCGCGGCGTGAGGGTGACAACGGAAGGCACGAAGGGATGCTCAGAGGTGCGAGGGGGGAGATCCGATCCCTTTGCCCCCCGCCCCCGAGGCTTTCTGGAAGGCAGAGGAAGCCCTTCTTGGTTTTCACTCTTCTGAGCTTTTTTTTTTCCCCTCTCTCTTTTGCTTGTTGTTGCTGTTGCTAAAATTGGAAGGAAGCACTTTGCCTGACCCTAAAAGAGTGGGGTTGGGGGCACGGCTGTTTGCAAGGCTCTCTCTCGGGGTAGGTGGGGAGGGAAGGAAAGGGGGGGGGGAGAAGGGGGGGACGACAAACACACCCGGCAGCCTTCAGCCTTCAGTGGCTTCTTTGTCCCGAGCCCCTAAAGATCGAGGATCAAAGTGACCCTTTAAACGGGGCAGAGAGGAGGGGGAGCTGCGATGCTGCGTCCCCGCGGAGAGGCGGCTGTCCCCGAAGTGTGTGTGTTGTGTATGATGGGGTGACACCCCATAGGACAGCCCCTACAGCCCTCTTTGGGGGCTGCCATCCCCCCCCCGCTGTATCGCTATAGGGACTTGGACAGGGCGTTTAGGCAGCGATGCTGCCCCGCTTTTATCGAGGGGGGTGGAGGGGGAAGGGTCTGAAAAATGTAATTTTCCTTTCTTTCGAGGGAATGGAGAAGGGAAAACACGGGGACCAACCCCAACCCGCTGCCGTTTCCATTCTCACCCAAACCTCCAACGGAGGCGAAAGTCCGAAGCGAACCGCAATTCTGTCATTTATTTATTTTCCCCGTTCCCCCATTTGTGGGGACGAATCGATTTGCATATTTATTGGGAAATTAAAGGAGAGAGGAAAGTTGACGCTGGGCGAGAAGAGCTTCTCGAGCAACTTCAGGCGCTCGGGTTATTTTTCGCCTCGCCTGAAGTTCGCAGAAGTAGCCTTAAATCCCATCAAACTCATTTCGAATTGCGGGGTTTGGGTGCCATCAGTCCCAGGCCGGCTCTTGAACACAGCCCACGGTTGCTTTCTTTTGCATTTCGAAGTATAGAAGCGTCTCTAAAAGGAGAGGTTGAACGTACAAAGGACACTTGGATGTCGAGGGATATTCAGGGAACAGTCATGTTTAAATTCCCTACAATTGTTTCCAGCACATTTGATTGCTCGGAAAGAGAAAGAAACATTGACATGAATAGGAATGGGGGGTGGAGGGGGGATGGAAGGGGGGGGGGGGGGACGGGATTAATAGCCCCCAACCTTTGTATGGTGTAAATTATCCGAGAGAGGGCAGATAGCCGGAGCTGCTGGTGATTGTGAGGGTCCATATAGACGGCCACGCCATTAGGGAAAGCCGGTGTTATTTTTAATAGGGATTCCTTATTTAGGAACTTCATTCTTTCCAATTCTTTCCCCCTCCCCCCTATTTCTCGAGGAGCGTTTGATGCTAAATAGCAGCAAATTGAGCTATTTGAAGCCTCATTTATATATATATATACATATATTGATGGAGAATGTGAATATTTGGTTTATACCTCGTTGCTCTGCTGCTTTTTTTTCCTGCACTTTTCCCCTTAATCTCCATCCGGCCCACAATCCAGCCCTTGTGTGTGCGGCTCGCAGCGGGTAAACTGCGATTTTCACTCCTGGAATTGAAAAGGAGGGGAAAAGTTTGGGCGTTTGACGAATGCTTTCCTTTAAGAGCAAAATATCCCACTCGTCTCTACCTCCTGTTCAGCGGAGGGAAGGACGGCGCAAGCCCAGATTAAGACACATCTAAAAGACGAGGAGATGGAGTTAAATCCAAGCGACGTTCGGGGGGGAGGGGGGGGGGAATTATACATTTATAGTGGCAAAGCTTCTCAGGAGAAAATAGGCAGAGGTGAATAGTGCAGAGATGGACGATCTTCCCCCATTAGTGCTCGGCAGCAAACCTCTGCGAAGGAGAAAACAGAGCGCTTGTTGCTGGTTATGACATCGCTAAAGCGAGGATCTGCTTTGGCTTTCCAGTTCGGTTGCAAAGAATCAAAGCTTCCCAACGAAGGAACCAAACCCAAACCCCCCCCCCCCGGGTTGGGTTCCCAAGGGGTCCCACCCCATTTTCCACCCCCCCCTCCGCGATGTTTTCCGTCGGGAAGGGAAAAAAGCAGAGCCGAACCCCGGCTGCTGTGACTTCGTGACTTTTCTCTCCGATTTTAGGCAGAATTGGATCTTTTTAACTCTTTTACCCCCTCTCCCCCCTCCTCTCCATCCTTTTATGACGGTATTTTTTCTCACTCTGTTTTCTCCCCTTAACCTCCTCTTTTTTTTTTCCCCCTCTCTCTCTCTGTCCGCCTTTCATTTGAAGCGAGCCTTTACAGCTTGCTACACTTTCTAAGTGCATCAATGGCCACTTTAGAAATACAAACAACTTTTAAAGATAAAATAACCAAACCAGAATGGGACTTTCAATGGGGGAATAGTTGTTGTCCTTTACCATGGAGTGTGCAGCCGCCTCTGCCTAATCCAGCTTTCATTTTCACCGACAAATGCCAAGAATCTATATCTGTCTCCCAACCCCTCGGGAGCTTGATTACACGACAAAAGGCTGCCATTATCCGCAGGAGAAAACAGGGAGGGGACACGGGGGCTCGGGCCTCTGAGGATGAGGGCATCTCCAAACTATTGACTTAGTGGATGAAGTCAAGAGCAAACACGCTGAGATCTAAAGGGGGGAAGGCAGGGGGCGGGGGGGAGAAGGAACGGAGGAAAAGGAGCAGCAGAAAGTCCTTGGAAGTAGCGGGGAAATTCAGCCGTTTGGGGGACAGCAGCCCTCTGGGGGAAAGCAGCTTTTTGGGGGAAATCAGCCGTTTGGGGGGATAGCAGCCTTCTGGGGGAAAGCAGCTCTCGAGGGGAAGCAGCCCTTTGGGGGAAGGTTTTTTCTCCCCGTCCCCGAGCAGTTCAGCTTAGGAAATCTCTCCGATTCCCGATGATTTTTTTTCCCTCTCCCTTTGCCCATCGCCTCGTTTCCTCTCGGGGAGGTTGATTTTTCAGCCTCGCTCATTTCTGTTTGGTCGTTTTGTTTTGTTTTCTTTTCCCCCCTTCCACGCGGGGAGTTTTGGGGCTTTTCCCCATTGAACAGAAGGGGAGAGAAACCCAACTTCGAGGATGCTGAAACGGCCGGACTCTTCTTTTCCCCATTAAACCGGGGACAAACCGGGTCAAGGTCGAGCTCCGAGGGTTGGGAATGGAAATGGGAACGGCTCGAAACTCACCCGCGGAGCCCTGGAAGGAGAAGTCACTCCGAGCCGACTCTTTTTAGGTTTAAGTCGCTGCGTTTTGCATGACTGCCTCATTAACCACCGCTGTGCGGGGATTTGCGGGCCGGGCTCATCCCGGTCCGTCGTGGACAAAAGTTATTTCAACCCTATCTGTAATTTATCTGGGTCACCTAGGGAGAAATCCTCCGGGCGAGGAGAGTCCTAGGAGCAGCACCAAAGGAGTCCCACAGCCCTTAATTACTCTTTAATCAACCTAACGCTGTGGTCCCTTTTAAGAGCTGCCTTTGGTGCGAGGGCTGCGTTTAAACATCTGCTTTCTGGACGGGTTTGGGGAGCCAAAAACCTGTGCGAGCTTAAGGGATTTAAAGGTGTGAGCTGTGCGTATCGAGCTGGGCCCTATGAGAGTCCCTTTAGCTGCGGCCACAGAAGAATTAAACAAAGGGAGAGGGCGGTGGGGGTAACCTGGAGGCTCCCATTTAAACTACAAAAGCGCCCAGGGAGCTTAAATTCACCTTTTAGGCGAATTTATCACCGCGGGTGGAGGAGAGAGGATGCTCGCGGGGTCCCGTCTCCAAGCTGAGCAGCTCAGCTTCAAATCTAACCTGGCTTTTTGGGGTTTCCTCTTTGCAGAAACACCCTGGGTTGTTGTTGTTGTTGTTTCTTGTCCGTATAGCTTCACCCTTCCCCTCCCCCCCTTTTATTTTTGCTTTCCCCTTATATAGAAGAACCCGGTGGATGTGCCGAGCTGGGCTCCCAGCTTTCCTCCCTGATTCTTTTCTCCCTAGCTTGGGTTTGGGGAAAGCTGCACGGGATCCCCTCTCTTTGCGGTCCTGCCGACACTTCGGTGTCTGGCATGGAAAGAGCAGCTGCTCGGATAGAGAATAAGTCTTAGAAGAAAGAGAAATCCTCGTAATCTCGGGACGTATATAATCTACGTCGCCCTGAATCCCAAAAGGCAGCGGGCCCGTCTCTCTGATTTATTTTTATGCTAGCCTAGTTTGCATCCCAAAGAAGTAAACTGCTATTTTTAACCACTGGTTTAAAGCTTAATTAAAAGCCCCTAAACTGATTGTTTTGAAAATTGATTTAGAGGAATTGCCCCAGGGCTGAGACGCTATCTAAGCCAAGTTGCAGTCCCAGAGCTCGCAGTGGTGTCTGAATCGTTAACCCCGCAGAGCCGGGAGTCTCCGGGGCTGGATGACACATGGGCTGGCCTGGCTCTCCTTGCACCCTCTGCAAAGAAAGGTCCTTTGTTAGCCCCGGCTACTGGTTTGCTCGGGTGGATCTCCGCTGGTTTCCTGGCGTTCCGAGGTTTAATTGAATTAAGGCAAGCTCGGAGATGCTGGTGACACCGGGACGGGGGAGCTCTGCCTTTCATCTGCTGGAAGGGAACGTGGCTGGATCGGGGGACGTGGAATTTGGGGACGGGATCTCGCCGTTCGATCGATTTACCTGCTTAAAAAAACCCCCAAACAACCCAAAGCAAGCGGGTGGGAGATGGAAGTTGGTCGAAGGCAGGGGGGGCTGCGGAAGGGAAGTGGCATTTCGGCCCCTTAATTAGATGTAAACAAGAATAGGGACGGGGCTCCGTGGTCAGAGAACTTGATTGTTAAGGGATTAACACCTAAGTAAACCAATAAAGGCTCTGCGGGGCTGGGCAGAGGGCTGAGGGCCAGGCAAGCCCGGTACACTCATGGGATCACCCCAAAACGACCCTCTCCGCCCCGCCAGCCACTTTAGGAGCCCGGTTTTAAGGCTTCAAGCCAAGGCTTGAGTTATTTTTTGCTGTCTGTGCAACTTGGAAAGCCTCCCTCGGGATGCTTCAAGGTGAGGAGCTTCTCATTACCTGCACCCATCGCTCTAATGAATCGGGTGAATAAATGAACGGGAAGGGAGAGCCCGCGTATGGGGCTGAACCCCGTGCATCCACACGTAAATAAGACGGTCCATTTCGCACTGCAGCTTCCTTGGACCCTTTCAGTCTCTCTGGCCCTCCTTGGTAATAATTACATAGAAATCCTTCAAAGCCAGCTCGAACGAAACGCTCCTGGGCGTAGCTCGCCAGGTTGGTCTCCAACCGGGCTTTTGTGGTGCTTTCTTTTCCCCTCGGTTGGTATTTTCCCCCTCCCCTCTCGCTCCGGCCAGGCTTTGAGTAGATGGAGGAGTTTAACCTTTGGAAAATCAGGTCTTGCCTTAAGTGATGCGGTACCTGTAAGCCTCATTTCCATGGCTTTCTCGCCGGTGAGGATTTAGGTTTGAGAGAGGTACCTGAAAGGCTCAGAGTCAAACTGAGTTCAATAACTTTGCTCCGTTTTGTTTTCCTCCATCTCCTCAGCTTCCAGTGCTCTCTCTGCTCGGCTGGCAGGGCTAATATCGGAGCACTCTAGGGTGTGAGTATTTCTTCCTCCTGATTGCAAATAACCGAAAGATTAGCACCAGCAGCTGTTTGGAATTGGAACAATGGAGAGACCTAGGAAGTGGAGAAATTGAAAAAGGAGAACCCCCCTCCCTTTCCCTCCTAATCACCCAGCTCAAAGTTCACGAAGTCAGACTGCATGACTTAACATGACCTCCACCTCGGCTTCACAGGGCTGTTTACTTATATGAAGGTTGATGGGGGGAGAGACAAAAAGGCAAAGGGGGGAAGGGGGGGGGAAAGGAAAATAGCCGGGCGTTTAATGCAATTTCCAATAGAAATGAGAGGTTATTACGGCTCCGTTTGGTCTCTCTGCATGCTGCAACCCCTTGCCCTGTGGGAGATGTTTAGGGGAGACCCTCTCCTTGCCCCTCAAAAGAGGAATTACCTCTTTCCTTTAGCTAGGGAGGGGTGGGTGCGGGTCCCTATCCGCCCCAGGTGCCCATAGCTCCGTGCTGGGCTATAGGGCTGAGGAAGAGGTTCAGCTTTTGGGGCAGGGATTCGGGGTTTCTGCAGGTCCTGCGCCGGCTGGTGAAGTGTGAGAGCGGCTGAGCTGTCAGGCGAGGTTTGAATGGGAACTCCTAATGGATTTGACTCGGAAATCTCGACTTGACCAGTTTTTTCCTCTTTAAAACAAACTCATTAAACTTGTCAACACTCATTAGGGCCTTAAAACGCTGAACTGGAGTCACTGGGGAGAGCGGTTGGTGGGGGGCTGCCTTGGGATAGGAGGTGGGGAAGGGGGCAAAGCAGCGGCTCCTCCGAGCTTGCGGGGATTTGCGGGGAGGGAGAAGGGGAAAAGAACCCCCTGCCGGCAAAAGAAACGCCTTAAAAGAGAAATCAAGGGAGGAGAGAGGGAGCCGGCACGGGGATGGGGCCGGACTTCGCGTCGGTGCTTGGAAATAGGGGAAATCTCCGTGTTTTCACCCTCCCCCCCCCCTCCATCTGTGGGCTCGCCTACAAAAAACGGGGCGGGAGGTTCGGTGTTCCCTGAAGAAATCATCGTTCACCGCGATTTGAGCTTTATTTTGGGGGTGTTGGGGGGGGGGGGGGGTCGTATGTGCTCGGCTGTGATTTCTGCAGTTGCCGGGGGAAGGTGGAAGTCGGGGGAACTCGGGGGAAAGGTTCGAGCCAGCATTCAG